CACATACGCGATATCCGCGTTAACCAGTTTTAGCAATAACACTGAAAGGACAGAAGTTAAATACACAAAAACACCGAAACAATTGAAAAAATGCAGACGAAAAGAAAACACGCACTACACTGAACACAAGTCGACTCGTCTTGAGCAGAAATGCATTAGAAGTAAAAGCATTCGTAATAAAGAATTATTCAAAGGAACCTTTCATTGTGTTGTCACTACAAGTTAAACAAAACCCTGAAGGATCTATTGTGGAGATAAGAGCTTATCCATTTTACTAGGTAGAAAGGGAAGCCAGAGGGTTGGAGTTTAAAGATGAGTAATTGGTGGTTAACCATATTAAACGCTTTGCTTAAATCAGTGTATATGAGATCAATGCGAGAGCCATTAGAAAAAGCCTTGAAAACATGGCAAGCAAGCTCCAACAGATTGATACCATAGATATTCTTTTCCGAAAGTCATGTTGCAATGGCTATATATACAATTTGATAGAAAAGTCTATATGTTGAGTCACAGTTCGCTCGAAAAGTTTAGGCAAGACACTCAACTTGGCTATGCTCCTGTAGTACTCAACAAATTGTCTACTTCCACTTTTGTGGATAGGAATAAGGAAACTACTCTTCTAACACGAAGGGAAGACACCTAAATTCAAGGACTGGTTAAAAATTTTTGAGATCACACCACCTAACTCGACAGCACAAGATTTAAGTACATATGATGGAATTCCATCAGGTCCAGGGGCATAACTATATTTTAGAGAACTCAAGCCTTTAAAAGCATCATCTTCCGAAATAACCAAGTTAGGACTTGAAACCGAGTTATTTATAGGGTATGGGTAGTTTGCTGATAAATCGAAATTAGCAATCGAAAAGTTTCGTCGGAAATACTCAGCAAACAGATTTGAGATTTCAAAATCATCCGAGGAATCAGAGCCATTAATAGAAACATGAGAGGGATATGTGGAAATTTTTCTTTTAGAGTTAACAAATTTAAAAAAGTATTTAGGATTAGCAAACAGAGAGGATTTAATGAACTGAAGGTATCTGCAGTAATAATGGTGATTGAGGGAGTTAAATCTATGCCTCGCCACCGAGTAAGCGAAATAGTCGAGCGCATTGCCACTTTTCGAATACTTTATGAATAGCGTGTGTTTTCCATTCTTGTGATATTTAATTGTCTTATTAAACCAGGGGGTGAAACCTGCTTCGAGGTCGGCACTGCTTGATCGGAGCAGATGCAACAATAGCTAGATTTAAAGTATTGTAGAACGCAGACACTAAGCTCTCAATACAGCCGGTTGAGAAATCAAGCCTCATATGTGAGAGATGATGTTTTAGCAATACAATATTGAATTTATGAAAATCATAATATTTATTTGAAAAAGTTTGATTTGCCACATTAAGGCAGTTCAACGAACCATCATTCTTATGATGAAAGGAAATGCACATAAATGGATGATAAAGTTGCTCAGGTAAAAGGTGGACAACGATTTACGTTAATCTTGGGAAAATTGGCAAAGCAGAGATCAAGCAGTCTACCATTACAATTAGGGGTACGATTATATTGAACCAAATTATGATCAAACAATTCATTAAAGAACACAACAGTCCTATCAGACGTTGAAGTAGGAATCAAACATCTAGAATTATAACTGTTACATTAAGTGACTTGAGGCAAGTTGAAGTCACCCAATGCAACGACCAAATCGGTGGGTCTAGATCGCTAGGCCACTACAGAAATGAGGGCAGCCTGTTTCTTGTAAATGGAGATATCAGAATTTGGGGGAATATAGGAGCTGGTCATAAATAGGTGTTTGTGAGGCCTTTTCGCACGAATGGCGATAAAGCCAACGTCAGGAGAAGTAGGACATTCTATTGAATTGGACGGCACTAACGCAGATATGGCAATTAATACACCACCACCAATTCGATCCAATCGATCATTTCTAAAATCCTGCAAAGAATTATGGAAAAGTTCAGACGATGTAGACCAGGCTTTAACCAACTTTCCATGAAGGCCAAACAGGAAAACTCCGTGCTCACTGAATATAAGAAGGTAGAACGAATTTTTGAAGTTAGGCCTCTAACATTTTCGTAAATGAGAGATAATGAGCCTGAATAAAAATTTAGTTGTTTGAAGACGATAGGACTACTGCTTTAATATTACGTGGTCGCTCACGAAGAATAAGTTCCTTAATTAAGGATCCTACTGGCCACAGTGGTTTGCTTAACAACATACCAATGTTTTCAGTCGGAACTAGTATTTTAAAAGAATGGATTGCCTTAGATTGAGAATGAGCCAATTTGAAAATGCTAACACGCTTTAAATTGACAGATTGGACTTTCGCCGCCAGATAAATTTTAATGTTATCCACAGAGGTATCAGGTGCCATCCTTGACAGAAATATTGCTTTTCTGGGAGGAACTGCCGTCGGGCAAATATCATTACTACTAGGAACAGTAGGGTACACGGCTGGGCAATTATGAGATGGAGAGAATATTGAAGGGATTATCACATTTCCACGAATAGCTTGTTCAACATGCCCTGTTTGGTTACCAGCGTTTGCACTCGAACACACAGGGGGAGAAGATGATTTATTTTGATCTTTATTATTTTTAGGCGTTGACGCCTGAGTAGAGTTGGTGACGGCACTGGGAGGTGATACTTTTGCCACTTCAGCATAGCTTAAACCAGAAGGACTTGCCGGCTTATTTGTAACTATTTTGTTACCGACCGACTCAGCAATTTCGGAAACACTGACGTTCATTGTAGAGCTTGAGGGAGCGCTAACTTATACCAACGAATCAGATTTACAGGAACTCAGAGGTGACGTCCCACACGCTATGGTACTAGTTGTTATTTTTCTGGCTTGGGTAGAAGATGAGTGCTCAATAAAACGATATTCATCATACCTAGACTTAATAAGCTCAAGCTTCTCCCACAAGTAGCCGAGATTTTTACTCAATTCCAAGAAACCTTATCTCATCTCCGTGAAGAGTTTGTAAAAATCAATGTCGTACTTCCTACAGTCAGAACATTACCAACGTAAACCTTTCGAGGGATCAGCAACTGCATCAGCAGCACGGCCGATAATACCGGCACACTTTGCATGGCAAAAACGATCAGAAAGCCAACACCAAATGATTCATTATGAAGAAAATAAAGAACAAATTGCAAAAAGTGTCACAACATAAATTTTGTCAACAAATTTAAGCAAACTTCTCCGTTACGTTGACACTGTAACACGAGAGCGAATGCAAACCCAAAGTGCAAACACCAAAAAAAGAGAGAAAACAAAATTACAAAAATACTCTCTCAAGTTTGACGTAAATTTCACACTATTGAAGGAACGGTAAACAAAGAACGAACCAAGAGAAAAGCTGTAATTACCAGAAGAAAAAAAAACACCAAAGAAACTTATTATCGAGCGTACCAAGGGCTGATCGCAAGAACCAAACTGAATATCGCAACAAAATTTCAATATAATATAAGTCTTTCACTTTTATACCTTTTGTACTTTTATACTTTTACAAACAATTAGGCTTCAAACGCGTAAAAAGCTTTAAAGCAATAAGACAAAAGAAAAGAGTGCAATAATTGTTTACACAAATTAAAACCGTACGATCACAGCGCGATCAGTTGCCAAACGATGAAAATGTAAAAAAATTAAAAAAAAATTTTGTTTTTTTCTCGGATTGATTTATTTTGTTGGACATAATGGTCTTGTATTCTTGCGGATCGATCCCACTTCTTAACCTTATATTCTTAATCAATTAAGGATTAGTTCCGTAGAATTTCAGCTTTTTATCTTCCTTTTTGTAATTTTAAGATTTGAAAAAACTTAACAAACCGAAGGATTTTTGTAAAAATTTGAATGTGAAAAATGTCCGTGAATCAAGTATTAACGCAAAACGAAAAATAATTTTGTGTATATCTTTTGAGTGTGATAGAGCATAAGACAGCAATATTTCGTTCTACATTAAAAAAACAAATAATATGCTATCTCTCCTTAGAAACGGAGAAGAACATTAGTTGCAAAAATTTGTATATAATTGTATATTGTATAGAACCCATAATATTACTACGCCAACCCACGTCCTATAAAAGTGAACACCATGGACTCAGTAGGTGTATTCTATAGAACCGCCTTTGTATTAATTAAAATTCTTGTAAACCACATGGCTTGCTTCTCTCTATTTTGTTATCAAAACACGCTACAAAAATCACCACTATTTACTTAAACAAATTAAAAAGAAAGCGTATATAAGGCATTATAAAATTTAAAAAAAAAACCGTATTATTCGAGAATTTTTGGTATTGTGACGGAAACAATTGTTGTTGTGAAAAATTGAAGAAGGGTTAAAAAGAAGAATCAGTGGTAGCGAACGTCTAGCGAAAAATCCAATTCATTCAATGTCAACATCTACATCACTGATTTCAAGACTCATTATATGGCTGTCCACTTCTCCAATTTTTTAGATTATCTAATATTTATACAATCTGGGAATCATGGTATGGCCAGAAGACTGCAACATCTCGCTCGAGGACGGGGATATTTAAGTTCTTAGAATCAGAGTCCACGTGTATAATAGAAGTGAGTATTCTGCATTCATTCAATTTAGAAAAAACGTCTCTTTGTCTATAATAGAATTTGGTAATAATTTATATAAGCAGTCGTCTAACATAAAAATATTTTTTTAACAAAAAAATTAAGATAATTACCTCCGATGCATCTATGGGAAACCTAATTGCCGCTAACTTTTCTCTTAATAAATGCTACATTGCTAACATTGCTTTCGGCATTTTGCAAAATCCGAAGAGTCGGCCTCTCTCTCGTAGATTCTAGCGAGACGGAAAATGTTAATGTAACCATTCCCAACAATTTGCTTAAATTTGGACCATTGCCAAACTTCTGTAAAGTCACACAAGGCATGTGATTCAGCAAAGTTGACTTAAGTATCGAGCCGGTAATACAGTGCCGTTAATGTTGGTTCTTTGGTGACGCTGACAAAGCTTGCACTTGCCGAAAGTCCCATTGCCCTTCTTGCGATCATCATCCTGTCGATAAATTAGAAGATGTATTAACTGCAAAACAACACATCTGATTTAAAGAGATATCCTTCTTAGAAAACAATTGTAAATATCAAGAAAGGCGCTGCAGATCGCTTTAAACTTTATGTCTACTCCTTATTTCAGAGCTTTTTACCTCATCCCAATTTTGTTTTCTCCCTTTCTCTCGAAAATTTCTTTAACTTGTCTCCCCCAAACAAATCCACGACAGTCAAACGAGACTGCTTCAAAGTAAAAAGTCGTTAAATGCTGTAATAATTACCGATCCTACCAATACTTCTAATTCGCTAACTCAGGTTTTTGAGCTTATAGGTAAACTACAGAGTGACAAATATCCTCTCAAACCAAAACAGTCTTAAACTGCGATCCTCTTCTGGGCTGCTTACGGCTCGTCGTTAATGAAAATAGCACAATCCAGCTGCAATAGTATCTGTAACCAATTCAAAAAGTTCGCACAGTGTCTTTATTGAAGAGTAACACCAAAAAGACTGAATCGCTAATGTATCGTTAACATAAGAGAAAAACAAAAATCTTCGCAAATTGAATTTTATATGGATAATGTACAAAAACAAAGATATGAAAACGCATGTTAATATCATAATTATGTTGTGTTGTGTGTTGCTTCGTTTAGGAAACAAAATAAAATTTAAACTAAATATATAATTTTTCTTAACTAAAATAATGACACCGAAACAAGACCGATTGCGATTACAAGGAAAATTTGGGCCTGAAATTTATGCAACCACCAAACCATAAATAGTTCATATATCTTTTTAATAGAACAATGTTATATATTTGTCTGGAGTGTGTTCATTGATGTGTACACTAGAAGAAAAAGAGAATAAGAAAATTAATGTCTTCAATCCAAACCCAAAAACGTAAAAGAGATCAATGACGAGTAGTGCAAAGAGCGCTTGCATTTGGTTGGAGTTTTGTAATGCAACAAAATAATGCACAAAGCGTAAAGAAAATGAGTAAATAAAAAAAATATGTGAATAAAGGAAAACTTTCTTGAGAATCTCGTGAACACTTGCACTCACATAAATCCTTCCTTTTAATTTCTAATTTTATTTAACCCTTATATAAAGGAATTAAAAAAGAAAAATTGAAATCAAGCGGAAAATGAGTGGAGTTACGGAAGAAGTAAAAACAAAAAATCACCTAAAAATTTTCCTTTTATTTTTTTAATTTTCAAGAAAACATACTGATGTTACATCATCATGAACACTCACTCCTTTAGTTCAATAACTCTGCTACAAACAATAATATAACATTTTAAACGTAAATAATACTTGCAAACAATGAAAATCCAAGAAATAATTCTTTTTAACGTTTAAAAATACAAAAACATTGCATTTACTGCACGACCACTTGTGGCACACCTACAACGCGGAATTTTACGCCTGTATTTTATGTATACTGAAAATATAGGGCAGCGACCAACGCCGTTATATAGTACATCCATAAACGGTAAAGGATGACATGACCCTCTAGCTTTTCGCCTAATGAGGCCCTATATTATATTTTTATTTTTATATGAGATCTTACATTGTAAAAGCATCAGCCAAATCATTGTGGAACTGACCAATATTTGGTAGCTGTTTGTTTAGGGTGCCGTTTGCAAAAAAGTTTTGATTCCACAACTATACTCGAATTGTTACGGCAAGGAACAATGGAGAAATTTTCTCCTCAGGAATCGTTGTCTTCATTGTATCCCTCTTATTCGCGAGTCTATAATTAGGCAACCTGTTCGATTGTAACGTTCCGACACAACGGGTCCCTTGCTTCGATAAACAGTATGCCAGGGGCGATGATGTATAAAAATGATAGAAAAATGTTATGTGATACATTTATCACACTTATTCTTGGTATTACTTTAGTTGATCGCAAGACGATATTATTGGTGATTCCTAAATAGGGCTCATCTGTTAGTCTATTTATTTTGTCTTCCTATCCGGAATAGACTTCGAAACAGTACGCGTATCCCATGAGATTACATAAAATAAATGTTCTTGTAACTCCACTTATGTGGCTTATTTGGCAAAGACTATTTCAGGAAATGAATTACTCTTTGTTAACATATTTATTCGTCTACTGGGAGGCGATGGTTTATGAGAATAGAGGAAAATTTTGCATTTAAGTTGTTTAATCTTCATAGTCTGAATAATTTTCCTGAACATATATTGGGGTGAAACATACTTCTTATGGCCTCAAAACGATTCACGGGCACAGCGTTCTTTATTAGTTCATAACCAAACTTCCGAGGCACACGGGGAAAATGTTGACCAGACATAAATAACAAAATACTAGTGAATTTTTCTGATTCGTAGACAATTACCACGCAACAGCTCGATAAGTTTGCTTGAATGGCATAGAGATTAGTTTTGTAGGGATAAAAAAAATTGAGAAGATGTAAAAGATTGGTGAGGTAGGGTTGGTTGATAGAAATGAAGTAGAAAGCAATTGATAAATTTTGTGAAGTTAAAATTAGAGTTCTCTTGAAATAAATAAAGCCAGCATTTCACGTGTCGCTGTGATGGTACCACCTTTCTAGAAGACTAACCTTCGTCTTTGGATCAATTGGAGAGTCAATTTTTTACTTTCCATACTACCAAATATTACACCACCGGATCACAATTTGTACCAAGCTCTAAAATAGCCTTATCAAATGAATTTCGGAATTCCGAAGAAAGACGTCTGCAACAATTGTTAGAAAACTTTCATCTTGGTGATAAAAACCCTTTAATATTTTTAAGTGAAATGTATTAACTATCTGCCAGAAAATTGTCTGATGAAATTTTTTGTTAGTCAGCTCAGGCAACTTAGACAGACACCGTTTATGGCAGAGAAGATCAATGAGCGTCTAGAATGTCCGTCAATAAGCACAATGATTTCAAAAAATTACAATGAAATGTTTTGCAATATCTAGACACAAATCACTGAATTATCCAACAATAATGATGGAATTAAATTGCAAAGCCGGATGTGAAATTAAAATAGAATCAGCAGCCGCAATAAAAATGCATATTCAGCTGAACGATTGTGTTAGTGTCATTCCAAATGACTGACCAAGGAAAATTTAAAATATGTCTGGAAATTCTTCATAGATACAGGAACCGGTGTATCAGTAATTCCATCATCTATCCCTATTAACCGTTTTAAATTAAGCAAACTCCAACTTCAAGTAAATAAGTCAATCATCAACACTTGTGAAAAAAAAGCTTTGTATTTAAACAGTTTATAAGGGAGTTTTTTATTGTGAGCAGCTAATTATCAGTTTTGACCTTCTGGAACATTTTCGGTTGCTTAACGACGTCAAAATAAAATGCCTTATCGATAGCCCAACAAAGTTAAGCGCACCACGTCTAATGTCAATCAAGAACGTTAGTTTTTCTGTCAATAGTTGCTCAATTCTTTTTCATGTTCTATTATCGGAATTTAAACATTCAGCAACCATCACGTATTTTGCCCGAGGCTAAACATTCGGTTGTTCATCACATTGAAACCAAAATTGTGCAAAAATAATTTAACTATATAATGCAATTAGGTATATGTCGTCCGTCGAAGAATAGTTGAGCAAATCCTTTACACCTTGCACTAAAATCTAGCACCAACTGGCGTCCGTGCGGTGACTATAGAGCTCTCAACCAAATGACAATTCCGGATAGTTACCCTTTGAATAATTTTTTAATTAATTTACACGGCAAGAAAATCTTTTTTAAAATACATTTGGTGAAAACTTACTCCCAAATAGCAAACAAACCAAACACAGCCATTATCTCGCAAATAGGGCTTTTAGAACTTAAAAGAATGGCTTTTGGTTAGTGTATTGCCGCCCAAACTGTTCAACGGCTTATGCACGAAATTCTAAAAAGCCGCGAATTTTGTGCTATCTACATTGACGATATTCTTACAACATTTTAAAATACTTTTTAGTCGATTAAGATAAGTGAACTATTTTTCCTAAGATATGTAATAATATCAAAAAGATTATAACTAAATCCAGAACGTAGAAGAGCAGTAGTGAAACAAGAACTACAAGGAAACGAACACGGTCGAAGCCAAATTGTTGGTCTTAGTAATTTTTATCCAAAGTTCATCCTCAAAGCAGCCGAGGTATAAGCCATGCTTCATGATATAAAAACACGTTAAAAGAAAAACGGTAAGCGAAAAAGCAATTGGGCAGATAAACTTAAACAAAAAACACGTTCGTTTTGCAAAAAATAACTTACCAACGCTACACCTGTAGCCTACCCGATCCAAGCATCCTTTATTACTTAGGATTGACGTTTCAGATTTTGGCATGGGAACAAATTTCCAACGCCATAGCACTTGCAAACTTGAACTGCAAGCAATACATTCTGCTTTTAAGCACATTTCCAGTACTTTTTAAAAGGCCGCACATTTACCATCCGTAGAGGTCACATACCGCTTACGTTCGCTTTCTGCTGAAAACTGAACAAATTTGGACCAAGGTAAGTATGTTAATTGGACTACATTGGACAATACAGTGCTGATATCAGA